CGCGCAAACTGTACCGATGGGGTAACACAGAATCGGGTGTTACAACCCCGACTATCAGGATTATCTGGAAGGGGCAGGGAGTGAGTGGGCATGGGGCTGGGGTCTTCCATTCTAGAGGAGCCAGAAACGCCTCCTCTCCCTTCCTTTTCATTTTATGTGTATATATGTGGTATGTGCACGCATGCGCATGTGTATGCACAGGGTGGGTACCCACGCATGCGCACGGAGGCCAGAGGAGGAGATTGGTTGTTTTTCTCTATACCTTTCTACGTTATCCGCTCGAGGCAGGGTCTCTCACTGAACCCAGAGCTTTCCTTGCTGGCATGGTGGCTGGCCAGCCTTGCTGAGTCTCATCTCTGCCTCCTGCTAGCACTGGGTTACAGTAGCATCTGGCTACGCCTGGCGTTTTACCTGGGTGCTGGGGATCGGAACTCAGGTTCTCATGGCTGCACAGGAACCTTCTTCTCATCACACCAGCTCTCTGGCTCCCGAATTCTTCTTGTTTAAAGGACTCGCTATTTGAAAAAAAATCCAAAACCTATGTTTTTGAGACATTTAGTTAAATTCGATTCGAACCGTTTCCATGGTAAACCAGGGATTAATGTTAATTTTGCCAGGTGCGGGAGAACATCGAAGCTGACCATATGACAATAATATCTTTCTTTGATGTGTATTGAGGCAAGGTGGATAAAATGTCATGTCTAGGATTTTCTCTGGAATATTTGATTTTTTTCTTACGGGGAGGGAAGAGCTGGAGTTAGTTCAGCTGTAGAATTCTGGTATGAGGGGGTACCTGGGATTGATCCCCAACACTGGGAGATTTCCTTAAAATGATCCACTGAACACCCCCTTAGTGACTGGTATGTGACCGTCCGTGAGGGTGACTTAGGAAGGGCTCCTTTCCGGGGCTTCCTCCCTGTCTCCAGCTGCCTACTGACATGAGCTCACTGCACACACTGGCACTGGGCACTGCCTTCTTTCCTCTTCTGTTGTGGTCATGAATGTGCCAGCACAAGAGTTGCCGGAGGCATCTCCAGACAGGCATCCTCTCTGGCCATCATGACTACAACCAGCTGCTTCCTAGGTGCCTCCTTCACTCGTGGGCAGCAGAGAGAAAGCCATTTGGGGAGGTCGACCCAGTTTAGAATTCAAATTTACTCTCTGCCTCTGCAATTAGAATTTATTTCCTCTTCAAAAGACTTGAATTTCAGAGCACAATGCCTCTAGCCAGGCCTGGGTGTGTGCAGAGTGATCCTAATGGAGAGAGATTCTGGTTTATTTTCATAACAGCATGTACCTTGTGATACCCTCCCAGCCTGACATTATTAAGGGAGTGTTTCCACAATGCAGCACAAATCTAAGGCAATTTGGATGTCCTTGGACCCAGAATTAATATGTGCTTTGTATAGTCTTGTAATTCGGGAGGCAATTTTCCATAACACACCGAGAGATGTTCCTTTATACCTTAGAGATAATTTAGCTCAATGTTCATTTGGAAAAATTACGGTGCTAATAGCTCTTCAGCCACTGAACAACAGACCATATCAGGGGAGTCCGGACAAAGGCCGGAGGAATTTTCCCTGGGCCAACATAACAGCTGCCTGGGGTTGCAGGGCAGGCTCTGAAATGGAGTGTGAACTCATGACCTCTGGCTGATTTGTTTAAAACCCATAGCTCTTAATGAAGAGCTACAGAATGAAGGTGGGGGAGTAATGAATTTCTCTACTGCCCAGGTAAATCTGATGATTTGTCAGTGCACACAAATCAGAACTTTTATATGCCCATCTACGAGAACAGCTTGCTTTCCTAACTGGTCAGGCTAGGAGGGAACAGAAGCAAATGAGGGCGTGGCTTGCCTCATGCTTCCTGGGTATCAGGTACTAGATACCCGCGTTGTCATGGAAGGGATCCTCTGTCCTTTCCAGAATTTAATACAATGATGAAAGGAGATGAACCTTTTCATGATTGAGAGTACAGTTTCTAATGACATTCCTTCGGGAGGCCACAGGAAAGGACTTGGTAGACCCCCCATTCACTTCGAGTTGTTTCTGCCCTTGACACTTGCTTCTCAGTGAGTTGGAAGCAAGCTGGGGTTTGTCGTTGGTTTCCCTGAGAACGTCAAGATCATGTCTTGGGTAGGAGACTCTGAAGGCCTCCGTCAGTAGAAGACTCTGGGTTTTCCATCAACTGGCATTAGACAAATGTCTGACTTCATGAAGGGGAGAGATATTATAACTCCTTTCTGTTTCTATTCATCTGTACTTGGCATTTGGAAATCCAACAGAGTCTGGACTGGAATGACTTGTTTTTCTTTCTTTGAAAGCCTGGTTCTCCCTCAGAATCAAGTGAAACTTGTATTCAGGTTAAGAGCTCCTGAATCTCTTGAACCATACTATTCTGGGAAAAAACAAGACAAAACAAACAAAAACAACCCCCCTCCCCAAGACCTGATGATTCCCATTTTAAACACCGGCATCCACTCGGATCACTGCTCATGCCCAGGGCTGGAGCAGGAGCAGACCCCCATGGAAGCACATCTGGACACAGCTGTGCACGACCTCTGGGGACGACACGCACTAGATAAGCAGAGCTAACCACACCCTGGGAGGAAATAAAGGGGTGGAAAGGTGATTTTTTTAAAAAGCTTTTATGAAAATCATTGCTGCTGGTAAGCATCAAGTTCCCGAGTTCTTCTGTCTTGTCTGCTGGGAGAAGAAACGTAGCACAGCCCGGCTGTCCCCTCACCCGCACGCGGCAGCCCCACCGTGGGCCACCACGATAGTAACATTCATTTCAAGGCAGCTTCCACATTTAGACTAGCCGCCCCTCCCTCCCGTACTGGGGGTTAGCCGAGGCCTTCCACACAGTGGCAGGCAACGCTTTGCCACTCAGCCAGGTCCCCAGTCCTTACTTAAAACCCTGAGACAGACTCTCCTTGAATTGTCCCTGCTGGCCCTGAACCTACTCTAGCTCAAGCAGTTCTTGAATTTGGAATCCTCCTGCCTCAGCCTCCTGAGAAGTTGGGATTACAGGCCCCTGTTACTACACCTGACTAGGCTAGTGGTTCATAACTTTCAGAATACACCAAACCTACTAAAGAGGCCCTTTCTTTACTTTTTGTGGTATTGGGGATCAAATCCAGGGCTCTGTCCACGCTAGCTGAGTATTGGACTACCGAGCACCGTCCCTCGCTCGCACTCACGGAGCTGTGAATGCTCTTACTACCCAGTGCCATCCAGAGTGCTTCTGGCTCGACTGTCTGTGACATGGCCTGGCCTTCTGCTCTCACTGGTGTTTTAATGAGGGAGTCACTGACTGGAGCCATCTTCTGAGTCAACACCAAAAGACAGAATAAGAACACAAGGAAAGCTGGGCCTGGTGCTGTGCATCTTTAACCCAGCACTCAGGAGGCAGAGGCGGACGCATCTCTGTGAGTTCGAGGCCAGCCTGGTCTACAGAGTGAGTTCTAGGACAGCCAGGACTGTTACACAGATAAACCTTGTCTCAAAACAAGACAGCACAAGGGAGAACCAAGTCATGCCTTTTGAGTGTGGCGGAGACAGACGTTGGTTGTCACCTAGCTCCGGTGGCATGGGCACCTTCCCTCTGAAAGTGCCCAAGCACTCTGCCGAACTTCAGACACAGTCCTCCAACCGTGGTCAGCTTCACCAAGTGAAACATTAACTCGTTTCCTTCTGTTATGGATTGTGGCAGGTCTGGTGTGAGGATGAAGTCCAGTCACTCCTGGAGAAGAGTGTGGGCTGGGCTGTTTCCTGTGTGGACAGGCAGGGCAGGGCAGGGCAGGGCCTAGATTGGGTGTGTCTGGAGAGTAAGGCTCAGGGTTCACCCTTGGCAAATGTTTAGCCAGAAATACCTTTGCTAGTCTCTTTACAATGTCCTTCTTTGGGGAAGTGAGTCTCAGTGGTGCTTTGGAAAGGCTCCAAGGACACAGTTGTTGCACCCTCAGGCCTTTTTGGTGGAGGGGCAGTTGCCTATTTTTAATAAATTCTCATCTCTCAGAGGCTACTTGAGAGCAAAGACAACTGCTATTTTATTTTATTTTGAGACAGGGTCTATGTAAACCTGGCTATACCTGAACTGGTTATGTAGACCAGGCTGGCCTCGAATTCAGAGAGCAGCCTGCCTTTAACTCCTGAGTGCTGGGATTAAAGGCGTGTGCCTCCATGTCCAGCTCTTTGTTTCCTCATCTCCTAGAGTGTGCTTCTTAGTCACGGCCTTTTTCTCATACTGACCGACTTGCCCTTCTTATATGGAGAGGACCAGGGAAGGATATGAGACACAGGGAAATCTGGGGAAGGACATTCAGCTATCAGCATTTGTCTCAGAACTGCTTTGATTCAGCAAAGAGCACCCAGAACAGGATGTTGCACATCCACATCACACCACTGTCCTGTCGAGTTTTTACTATCAACTTGACACAGTCAAGAGTCAGCTGGGGCAGGACTTTCAACTGAGGGACTGCCTAGATTATGTCTAGATTACATTGGCCTATAAAGTCCTTCCTTCCCACGATACTTTTGCCATGATGGTTAGCATATCAACAGAAAGCAAACTCGAACAATACTTCCTGTAAACACAGAAAAGGTGAGAATACTATAGAGTCATACATTTAGATCTAAGGGTGATTTTAAAACAATGAAGGGGGCTGGAGAGATGATTCAGCAGTTAAGACCCCTTGTTGTTCTTCCTGAGGACCAAGGTTCGATCCCAACAACCACATGGTGGCTCATAACCATCTGTAAATCCAGTTCCAGGGGATACAATGCCCTTTTTTGAACTCCTTGGGCACCAAGCACGGATGCAGAAAACAAACACACAAGCAACACACTCACACACATAAGATAAAATAAAAAAGCTTTATCCCTCCCCATAGTAAACAGCCTACTTTCCATAGACCTCAGATCTTGATTTGTACGTTGATGCCATGAACTCACCTCCCCCTTTCCTGAAAAAAAAAATCAATAGTATTTTAATAAATCTATCATTACAGAAAGTACTTTTATTGTTGTTTATTGAGAGAGAGAGAGAAAGAGAGAGAGAAAGAGAGAGAACTTTATACAATTTGGAACGGGTAAAAAGAGATGCTCTGTCAAGAGCGCAGCCTCCGTTTTATACTATTACAGTAACTATCTTAAAAGATAATAATGTAAACAAAAATGTGGATAAATTAACCCAAAACAAAAAGCGATAAAATACAGACAACAAAGAACACACGAATCAGCACATCAGCTATGGCAAACCACTACACAGAGGGATGGAACAGCTCAAATGCAAAGTCCTAATTGATTCCGTACCACATGAGCAGAACTAAGGGGCAATGACACGGATCTGACGCGGGAGCCCGAGAACAAGCTGTCCGGAAACTGTCTGCATCACCACCCTCTCGTCTTCCACCTGCAATCTTGGCATTCTCCTCCTTTTACCATTCCCCAGAGACAGAGAGTAACTGTTTACAATGAGAGCCTGACAGGCGACCAAGGGCAGAACACTCCATCAGCAAAGCCTGCTTTGGTGGCTCAGCAGGTTACCCAGGTTGCACACAGGGACACCATCATCAACATGCATCTTAGAGGCTTCCCCCTTCTCATATGGGGCACAGGTGGCAAAAAAGGGAAAATCTTCATAAAGGGAAACAACCTTTGTGTTGGTGTCACTTTTGAACTTCATAAGGACAAGTTCATAGACTTCACATATTCAGTTCTGGGTAGATAGTTTCTTCCCTCATTGACCTTGGTGACATGACATTCCCCTGAGTTTGGTTAATGAAAGCAAGCAAACAGAGAGTGGCTAAGAAACATAAAACAAGGCCAAAACATTGTATTTTGTCTTTTGTATTTCCTGGTAAAGGAGCCAATGGCACGGAAGAAACCGATGTTCCACTCCAATAATGTGTTTACAATGTGAATCCCTTTACTTGTGAAGTTAAGGCACCAGGTTAAGCAAAGGGGGAAGGTCCGATGTGATCATGGAATCATTAGGCTCCAGTACACTGTGTACTGAAGAGCGGCCGGCAGGAAGAGTGAGGAGATCCACGGTTAGCTGAAGGGTCCTGCAGGCTTCAAGTGGGTCAGACTATACTAGACTATAAGGCACTCCTACAGGGAAAGAGACAGTGGGAAGGAAGAGCCAGTTCAAGAGGCCCAAATCTGGACCAGGGATGAGGATGAAGGGAAAAGGGAGTCAAGAGAGAAGACGGGGCAGGTCTGCAGCTTCCATGGCCAGCTAGAGGGACCCAACGGTGGAAAAGCTGCGGTAGGTGTCTTATTCAGCTGGCTTCACTAAGGGGCTTCCTAAAAAGATGAGCAGTCAGTGGCCTCTTCCCTCCGAGACGGATCCAGCAGAGTGGCCTGTGTCCCACTCGCCAGAGCTCCCTAGCACACCAGGGCCGACTCTGCGAAGCCAGGGCTCCATCAAGCTCCGACAGGTGTGGTCAGGCTAGGAGATATTCCATGCTTTCCTTTGATTTTTTTTTACCGAGTTTTACAGTGCTGTGGAATTTTTATTTCAGCCCTGCACCCATTCAAACATACCAGGAAGAAATTCTTGAGTCAGAACTTGGAATCCAAAGAAAGGACACAACAATCTCTAGGAAGAGACTGCTGGGTGCTGAGTCCTAGCTGTCAAGACCCTGTCCCCGTGACAGAGACCAGCATGGGTTAGGTTTGCCGAGGGGGTTCTTCATGTCAACTATAGTAACCTGGGGTCAGGCAAGTGGGAAGGTGCAGAGAGGCGGCCCAGACTCCTAATGCCCACCATCAACAAGTCGGGGCCAAGGAGAGGATAAGGAGAAAGGTCAGCGGCTCCAGCCATGCCAAGGAGGAAAGTGCCAGCCATTCCCTGTCGTCTGAAATTCCCGACTTCTCCATGTTATTTTGGAAGGTGAAAAGTAGTGTAGAAAACTCCCCAAATAAAACTGCACAGCTCTCCACAAGAAAAAAAAAAACAAAATAAAACAAAATAAAATAAAGTCTGTGTTGGAACCAGGCAGTATTCCAACAAAGGATCAAAGATTAGTTCTTAATCTAGCGATTTCAACAAAGCCTGGGAGGTGACAGAGAGGGCTAATCTGCAGGGTCAGAATGGCGGGGCTCTCCCTGGAATGAGCAGCAGAATGTGTCTCTGCTTCCTTGGTGGCAGCGGTCCTTGTAGTTGGTGCTCGGGATGTATGGCATCGCTGTGATCCTGCTCCGATAGGTAGCTTGTGTCTGGTGGTTCTGGTCCACGGATAGAGAATAAGCAGGCTGGGCTGGAAGCCGAGTCTCCTTAAGGAGGTGCAGAAAGAAACCCACGGGTGCTCACATTCAGTGTGCACCCATGACAAGCAGCGACAGAGGCCAGACCTCACCGGAGGGTGCACTGCAACCTAGCCACAGCGTGACAGAGAAACCTGTTTAGGGGCAGCTGAGGGGCATCACAACACTGGCTATCTCAGGACTGGACCAGGACCTGCACTGCAGTCACATTCTCTGTTTTGGTAGAGGCCGATGATAGAAGAAGTGGTTACCTCTCAGCTCGTCAAATGTGAAGACTCCCAAAAGACGGTCCTTATTCAGCACAGAAAGTTCAGGGGAAGCAGAGTTTACAAGGTTTTCACTGAAGCTGCTTTCAACTTTGGGAACAGGCAGCCCTGGGAAGAACTCCACTGCCATCGCGATTGACCGCCTCTGGAGCTCTCTGGCCTTCCTGCTGCAGTGCAAACACAGGTCTATTTTGGGAACTGGCTTCTTGACGGTGGGGTTGGGTGCCAACACTTTCCCCAGGCTGGATGGTGTCACACGAGTTTCTGGCATGAGCAGGAGGGAATTCTTGTGCTACACCAGTTCCCCGGACTCCACTGCCAGCTCCGGGAGATTAATGGGCCATTTTCCATTGTGCTTTGCTTGTATGATATTTACCTAGATGAGAGAAGGAGGTGGGACTCCACAGGCTCGCTTTTCTTTCGGTGGTTTCTAAGCAGGAGAACAATTACCTAACACTGCACCAAGTAATTTGTTAGGCCTGAAATCAGTAAGGGCCTTCATGCACTCTATGGCATTCAGGGCTGAAAATAGCAATTTTGAATTTTCATGGTAGACCCAACTCCTAAGCTGGCTCCACTGTGTCCTATCAGATTTTGGTGGTGGTGGCAGAGATGGTTGTTAGGGCTGGCATGCACTAGGCTATCAGGGATGTACGCCAGAGATAAAACAGAAGTGGTAGGGACGTGGCTTAGTTCTAGATGGCTGATGACAATTGTTTATCTTTTTCCCCTTCAAAAGAGGGAGCAAGGCTGGGCGGTGGTGGCGCAGGCCTTTAATCCCAGCACTCGGGAGGCAGAGGCAGGCTGATCTTGTGAGTTCGAGGCCAGCCTGATCTACAAGAGCTAGTTCCAGGACAGGAACCAAAAGCTACGGAGAAACCCTATCTCGAAAAACCTAAAAAATGGAGCAAAAAGCAATGTCCAGGGTAAGTACTTAGGTGCTCCCAAGGTCGGCTCACACAGCAGGGCCTGCTAAGGACAGCGGGGACAACTCAGGTGTCTTGAGCAGGGATTCAGATTTCACCCTTGACTTGGAGGTCTGACCTTGAGCACCTGTGAGTTCTGACACAGGGCAAACGTGTGTGTGTGTGTGTGTGTGTGTGCGTGTGTGTGTGTGTGTGTGTGTGTGTGTGTGTGTGGGGAGGGGCGGCTGTGTTCTTCAGGCCTCCATGCTCAGTTGGAATCACAGATACATTAATTACAGCAAGGCCAAAGACTAAGCTGCAGTGACAGGGATTTGGGGGTGGAGAGAGAAGGCGCTGCGCTGCGGGAGCACATCTGTTTCAGAATAAGCAGGTCTATAACTCTCCTGTGGAAGAGCATGCTCTGCTCTCTTCTCCGAGGCTGGAAAATATAAATACTGTATTTCACAAAGGGGAGGAAGAAGGGAGACTCAAATTTGTTTGCCTATTTGCCAAGTGTTGCAGACTTCCTGCCCTTGTCTTTCCGTGTGCAACAGTCTCTACCACTCTGTCTGAGGGGTGTCAACCTTTCCCAGAGTTTAAAAAAGGTACCTACTTACCGGAGGTGTCTGGTAAATAGGGCCCTGGTCTTTTACCAAGTCTCAGGCCTTGGTTATAGCTTCCAGGTAGCCAGGAAATAAACGCATGTGTAGCGTGAACGTTGTGGTCTGGGTCAGAGGTAACGGTGTGGGCTGAGGCGAGCCGCTCACCCTTAGCCGCACAAATCGGCCAGCTGTCCCCAGTGCACATCAAAGAGCTGCTGCCTGCAGGGAGCAGCATGGAGATGCAATGGACACATGCTTTGTGAGCCAGTGTCCCCTAGATCTGAATAACAGCATCAGTTCAACACGAAAGACACACTAACCAATTACGTCCTTGTGTTAAGGCAGCAGGAATGCTGGCCGTGGGTTCCCAGTGCCATCCTACCAGCCATCTTGGTCACAGTGACAACTACATAGGCTCTCACAAAGGGCTACCAAGGGGTCTGCTCCAAAGAGCATTCTTATAATATTTACTTGTGTTACTGTAAGGTGGCAATTATATATATATGTATGTATGTATGTATAAATCTACTTATTTTAATACTATTAAATTCATGAATTCTATTTATGTTTGGTATTTTCTTAATAATTTAGGTTGGTATTTTTCAAGTTATTCTTTAATAATTGTATAATTTTTAAAATAATTAAAAACAAGTAAATCAGAGCAGGTACAGAGGTACACACCTGCAATCCCAGTACTGGGAGGATGAGGCAGCAGGATCACAAGTTTGAGACCAGCCCAGGGATATAGATAGCAAGACCCTGTCTTAAAATATGCCCCCATCCCAAACAAACAAAACACCCAGAATACGAAAGCAAGAGTCACTACATGGACTGATGTGGGTCAAAAGTGCTGTGACGGACAATGAGCAATAAAACATTGAATGTCAGGTGGGCACTGCCTATGGTGGACTCCAGGAAAGGAAACATCAGGTCCCCAAGGTGCACGTGGCATATGCTACAGCAGTCTATACACTGAGATGCTTCAGGACAATCCTGGGATATTTCTTCTTGGCCAGCACTATGAAAAAATAACAAACGCCCTCCATGCCATGCTTGGAGATCTGTTCTTAGGATGCCCGTGCACTCTCTGCAGCTATCATCAGGCAGTTGCTGGGCTTCATACCAGCAAGCAGCTGGGGACGTGCGGTGACTGGCCACTGAGGTCCTTTCGTAGCAGCAAGCAGCTGGGGACGTGCAGTGACTGGCCGCTGAGATCCTTTCGTAGCAGCAAGCAGCTGGGGACATGCAGTGACTGGCCGCTGAGGTCTGTGTCGTCATTTGCAGGGATTAGCTTCAAGCCCAGGGTGGCTCTACTCCTCAAACTTTCTGCTGGAGGGAGGGACCCTTTGGGTTTCTGCTTCATGGCTCTGCTTCAGCGCTCCCATCTCTGCCAAGGACTCTGGAGCCTTGGGAGGAGGATTGAGAAGTATTCTTGTGTTTCGGAGATTTCCTTGCGAAGCAGATGACAGTTTCCCCAGCAAAGGCTAAAATTCAGTAACAACCCAAAGCTGTGCTGTGGACAAGCTTCCTCTGATGCCTGTGCAGCAGACCTGCCCTGGAGCAGTGTGAGAACCACAGTTGCTGGGGCAAGCAGCTGAATTTCATGGCTAAGTGTAACTCAGCTATCTGGTACGAGTTCAGCCACAGGGTCTCTGTGGACTTCTAGACAATGGGTTACACAAAGCATACGTACAGGACGTATAGGTGTGTATATAATATAAATAAATAACTTATATATCTACATCTAGCTGAAGGAAAAAGAGCCTCATCTGTATGGGCACAAGTGGCCCTTGGGCGGCTGTGGTGCGTGCAGCCCAGCCTGCAGTCAGGTGTTCTGGTAGGACAGCTCGAACATGGTGCATGCCTCCTCCAGGCTCTCGTCCACATTCAGCTGCCGCCAGAAGGACTTCTGCTTCTTCTGCAGCTCCCGGCGGACACACCGTGGGCAGGGGACTGACTTCTCTTTGCACTCGGAATGGAAGACAGCGCCACAGCTTTCACACCTGCAAAGACCAAGCGTGGAGATGCTTAACAAGACAGCGGAGCCTGAGAGCCCGGGGGACCTGGAGAAGCCAGGGCACTGTCTGTTCCTCTGAGCATCTCTGTCCTCGGGAAGAGGCAGAACTGAGAGTCTCGGTGCTAAGTTCACTAGTGATCAGAGGCAGCCTCATGAGACACTGGCCCAGGGACTCTGATAACAGTGACAGGGGCAGCAGCGGAGGCTCTGCGTGCCGGTTTCCTGTCCACAGAGAGAGAAGAGCGGCAGGAGCCCTCGGCGGGCCTCGGCAGGCCTGGACTGTACACGGGGGCACAGCTTTCTTCTTTAGCCCTCTTAGTTCCCTGACTTTGTGTGACAGTTTGGGAAGGTACAATGGCACATTTTCATTCTCTGAATGTCCTGGGGCCTAGTACTCTGTGCGCTCTTTAAAATTAGGAAAACCCTCCCACCTCTCCAGGTCTACTTGTGTGACCTAACTGTGAACAAGGAAGAGTGAAGGACTGGGAAAGAAAACATTTTCTTTCCACCAGGGCAGACCTGGCAGCTCACTGAGAGGAGACAGCATTCCCGGTGGATGACTAGCTGCTAGTCTGGCCTGCTGGAGTCTGTACAGGAGTCTGCCTTTGCAGCCTGTTTGCACTGGGAAGCTCTCAGTGATGACTAATGACCTTGGCTGCTCCAGCCAATGACCTGCTCATGTGCGTGCGTGTGTGTGTGTGTGTGTGTGTGTGTGTGTGTGTGTGTGCAGAGCCAGAACTCTCATTCTGCTATGCAGGAGCTCTGAAAGGAGACTTTCTCTTCACCCTGGAAGCCCAGGGAGTTGCATCCCTGGACCATTGTCCAGTGTAGCTGTCTTCAGGGTTCACCCTGGGCCTGTTTTGGGGATAGCGAGTCTTGCACCACCATGCAGTATTCACTGACGTGGCCATGCCCTGGGGAGGAGTTGGGAGGGGTCTTGTAAAGAGCTAACCAGAGGCTCCACCCCCCCCCCCCCAGCTCAGCTCTCCCCTTTGAGGGACAGTGGCTGTTAAGATAACAGATGAGGAACTGCATATTGTTTCTCTGTCCCTGACTTGTGTCCCCTGGAGTTCCCATAAAGAAGTTCAAGCCCCCAAGGTGACAGAGTACTTGGGTAGTACTAGGAAACTGATTAAGGTAAGGGTGTATCTCTGGTCCAAAATTGGTCTAGTGTCCTTCACACAAGAAGCAGAGCTTCTCAACATCTTAATCCCTGTGCACTATGTGAAGCCATCAGGGAGTCAGTATGAAAACCTTCATCAAAACCAATCCTGCTAGGACCCTGCTCTGCAGCTTCCAGCTCCCAGAGCTGAGAAACACATCTGTGAGCCACCCGTCTGTGGTGCGGTATGTTATGCAGCTTGATGATGCCCTGGAGCCGGTGACCTCACCTGGCCAGCGATAACAGGAGCAGCCATCACCCCAGGATGCTGCAGGCCTTGAATGAGATCATGGGTAAAGTGCCCAGCAGTTGCTGGCACAGGATAAGCTGTGCCCCTCAGGCATTTCTGGGAGGCCTCTCTGCAGTCTGGCTTCCCTGTGTGGCCTGGGTATCCGCATCAAGCCCTCATTTCACAGAGCAGAAAACTAAGCTTCCCAAAGGGCTAGTGATCATCACAGAGAGCTGGAGATAAGAGTTGTCGCTAGAACCCAGAGCTACTGGCGGTGGCCACCCGCACCGTGGGCTCTCTGAGCGGGTATACATGCTTCTGGCAGGGATGCCGTTTTAAGGCAGGCTGCCAGTGTCAAGTTGCTAAAGTCTCTGTGGCGGAGCTATCCTAGCTAGATCGTTACTTCTCATAAGTCAGTTCCTTCTTTTCTAGTGTGGGACCGGGACATCTTCATAATCATTCGGTTGCTGGGAGACTCCGATGAGCAAATACCAGAGGAAAGACCCTGCATACTGAAGTGACACGGTCCCTTACAGGTGACTCTGGTACACAGCCGGGCCACCTCTGCTCTCCCTCTCCCTCTCCCTACCCCTCCGCTCTGCTCCTGTCAGTCAGGTCCCCTAGTGCCTCTCTGGGCTGTTTCCTAGTGGCAGTGGTTCTGTCCCCCACCGGGTCACACCTCAGTAAGTTCCTAGCATTAAACGACGCTAATGGTAGCTTTATCAAATGAATTTCCTCCAGAGCTGGTCCTGGATTTATACGCCTAGGGGCGTGGCTCTAAGGCAGTGACTGATAAGGAGAAAACACCTTGTTCCCCAGTGCCACTCCCTTATCTCTGTTGATACCAGGCCTGCGCACAGAGAGAGAAGAGATTGAGTCTTATCAGATATCTCTGGTGCAAAAGAAAAAAAAAAAGCCACCCACAGAGTGATGGGGGACTAGTGCACCTGCTTGGCTGAGCCAAAGGTCAATAACTGAAAAAAGTATCAGATAAAGAAATTAATGAGTTCAAAACAGTCTTGTTTTCTAACAATTTGTAAAATGGAGGTGTTTTTCAACTGTGGTATGAATTCATCAATCAATGACATTTCCAAATTCAGACAATCGTTAGCTTCCACCCACCATGCTCCCTACTTTTCACTATACAGAATAATGGCGGGCCAGGCATGAGGCGCACGCCTTTACTCCTAACACTTGGGAGGCAGAGGCAGGTGGATCTCTGAGTTCAAGACCAGCCTGGTATATGTAGGGAATTCCAGGCCAGCTAGCATTACACAGTGAGACCCTATCTTGAACAAACAAATAAAAGAAAGAAAGTCAGAAAGAAAGAAAGAAAGAAAGAAAGAAAGAAAGAAGAAAGAAGAACCCGACCTTGCAATCCAAGTGTGAAGTGCAGGGCACCGGAAGTACCTGCAGGTGCAGCAGTGGGCAGCTCAGTCTTCTTGGGTTGGTTGTAGGTGTTAACCGTTCCTCGACTATTTTAGATGTAACTCAGGAGCTGGGAGGATAGCTCAATAGGTCAAGCACCTGCAGCCTTTCCTCCTGTGCTGAGGACCAGCGTTGATTTCTAGCCCCCATATGGCAGCACAATTCTGGAATCCCAGGGAGGCAGAGACCAGAAGATCCCAAGCTCACGCCCAGGCCAGCCAGTCCAGACAAACTGAGTACTAGACCACAGTGAGAGACGATGTCTCAAAAACCAAAGCTGATGACAGCCGAGGAACGACCCCTAAGGTTGACCTCTGACCCTCACATGCACTGTGTACACATGTGCACCTTCACAGACACTCACCTATCCACATAAAGCAAAAAGAAAAGAAAATTCAGCCCACCCAACTTTTCAGGAGTATGTCTTTTTTTTGTGTTTGTTTTGTTTTTTCGAGACAGGGTTTCTCTGTAGCTTTGGAGCCTGTCCTGGAACTCCCTTTGTAGACCAGGCTGGCCTTGAACTCACAGAGATCCTCCTGCCTCTGCCTCCCAAGTGCTGGGATTAAAGGCATGTGCCACCACCGCAAATCTGTCACTGCAATCACCGCTTACTGAAAGCTGCAACAGGTGGCGAAAAGGAAAGTCCCACATGAGATGAAGTTCGGTCTTCAGGTCTGAGTCCCATGCCAAGCAGTGAGAGCTCTTTCTGGCCGCTGCAGGGCACACAGAACTCACTGCAGGCAGTTGGCTGCAGACCAAAGGCACACAGTGGACTTTCCTGTTCCTTTTGTGTGTGTGCATCCACTGCTTCAGTACTCTAGGGACCTCAACCTCAGTGCCACTGACATTTTGGGTGGGATTTTCTTTGGTGCAAGGGACTATTCTGTCACAGTACGATGCTTAGTAGCACCCCTGGCTTCAGAGTACCTTCCGCTAACCACTGAGCTGTGACAATAAGTAGTATCTCCAGATGCTCACAAATATCTGTGGGTGTTAAAATAATACCTACTGAAAACCACTGACTCAATTATCTTGAGACAAAATCACATAAGGGCGCCCAGTGGGTTAAAAAGCACCCCTCCCTCCCGCCTGCTGGCCTACGCTCTTGCCAACCAACAAGATCTAGCTCAGTGTTCTTACATATGCCATTCTCAAAACAATTCATTTTCAACAAAGCATGGGATAAAAATACCTGAACAAACAAGTATTAATTATCCTGTTCTTTTTGAAGTTATTTAGAACATCATTTAGGAACTTAAGGGGTTTGGACACAGGTCAGTGGTAGACAGCATAGACTGCATGCCCAACAAGACTCTAGGTTTCTCAGCACTGGGAAAGAGAACGGTCAAGGTAGTACAATCTCAGCATTCAGGGAGTCAAGAAGGGTGTGAAATTGAGACTATTTCCAAAAGTCAAATCAGGCTTGATATCAACACCCATGGTGTGTTACTGTGCGTCGCTCATTAACTCAACTTTTTACCGTCTCACAGTGGCTTTTCAGCTCTACCCCAGAGCCATGCTGGTTGTCTGGCTCTCATTGCATTTATTAGTTTCTTGGATCAGATTCTCTGGAAAATTTCTCCATGGCCTTCCCATACCTTCATGTTTTACCCAGACCACCTGGCAAATCGAAGGCATTTTTTTTGCATGTACTTTATAAAGTAAGATAAAATAAATTACTTTTGTGAACTGTGCAGCTGCTTCAGAAACCTTGGCTGTGAAAGCAGTAGAGCCCCATTAGTGCAGTGAGGGACCTGAGTTCTCAGTCCAGCGTGGGGCTCACATCACAGGACACTGGGGAAGTTACTTTGCCTTTGAGCCTTATTTTCTAGAACTTGGGTTAAACGATACCTAAAGTGTCTTCCCCGCACACTTGGGGATGGGTAGGAGAAGTTATTCTGGGACCTGGACTCCCCCCACCCCATGTTCTGCTCCAAGGTCTGTGGGGAGTGAGGGTCAAGGAGCACTGGCTGTTTCCTCTCCAGAAAGTCACAAACTGAAAAGCCAATTGAGATGGATAACAAGTTAGATTCCTTCTAATTCCACTTAGTCATATTAGTTAAGCTATAAGATACGATGAGAACAGATTCAATGCAATGCCCATCAAAATCCCAGCAGAATTCTTCAAAGAGCTCGAAAAGAACAGTACTCAACTTCATATGGAAAA